GGCGCGACCCCGGTTTTCCCAAGGCAGGAATCTCTGAATCCTACACAGTCGGGTGGCCCCAAAAGGGCATAATCTCATTACCTTTCATGCCAATAGCATTTGTTAGCATTTCCCCTCCTTTTCACCCCAGTTGCAAATACCTATTGGTTTTTGCAGCCCTGGTTCCAATCCCGCATGGCCAGGAACTGGTCCGAATTCACTCATATAGGCAGGGGCGGCTCAACCCATTATGCAAAGTAAGCATTCGCAGTATACTTGATTTTGCCCAGGGGTGTTCTTGAGGCGCTCTTGGGGGAAAATAGACCTTGACATATGCAAGTTGTAGTTACTGAGATGCATAGTTCACCTACAATCAAAGAGCATTCTGAACTCCATCAATGATGGAATTGAACCAAATATGGCACACAGAACTCCCACGACAAACAGAAAATATATATCAGTGATTGGTTGGGGGGCAGGCACCAAAATACTGTTTGCTTACAGTTGGAAATTACCTAGGGCCACCTCTCCATATAGGGTTCCTTTTGAGGCCATTTGCAAGGAGTCCTTTGTGATCTTGAGTGACAGCTGTCACTCCCTCAGCTTCAGAGGGAGGCACATAGTGTTATTATTTTAGCAATCATGGATGGTGTTGGACTCTAGCTGTGGAACACCTTTTCACCCAGCTCCACACAGAGTCAGAAGTAGCTAACTATGGTTTGGGTTGTTGTGAGTTTTCCAGGCTGTATGGCTATGTCCCAGAAGCATTCTCTCCTGACGTTTCACCCACATCTATGGCAGGCATCCTCAGCGGTTGTGAGAATGCTAAAAAGGAGGTGGCCAATCTAATATCTATAGGGAGGGTGTTCCACAGCTGAGGGGCCACCACGGAGAAGGCCCTGTCTCTCGTCTCCGCCAAATGTATAAAGCCCTAAACGGTTCGGGCCCTGCCTATCTCCGCGATCGCATCTCCTTCTATGAACTGGCACAAACTCTAAGGTCTTCCGGGGAGGCCCTCCTCTCGGTCCCACCTCCGTTATAAGCACGATTGGTGGGGATGAGAGAGAGGGCCTTCTCGATGGTGGCCTCCCGCCTCTGAAACGCCCTTCCAAGGGAAATTAGACAGCCCCCATCCCTCCCCTCCTTTCATAAGAACTTGAAAACCTGGTGGTTTCAATAAGCCTTTGAAAATGACCAGGTCTAACTTAGTCTTACACATTGTCGAAAATGGCCTTATTCTTCCTACCAATTACCCAGATTCTTTCCTCTAATCCGCCCCAGAATGAACAGCCACAGACCTGTACCTAATATTATTGTTGCCATAGTGTTGCGCTTAATTCCCGGGTCCCCTAGAATTTTTGGGCTTGCACAAATCTTGGTCCGGCCTTTTACAAATTTTTAAATTGCGTTGAACAGGCAGGATTATTTTTAATATATGTGTGTTATGGCGACAATTTTTATGCTTATATTGTTTTGTTAATCTTATGGTTATGTTGTTTTACTTTGTATGTTTTGTGATGTTACCTGGGAACTGCTCTGAGTCCTCTCGGGGAGATAGAGCAGTATATAAATAAAGTTATTATTATTATTATTATTATTATTATTATTATTATTAAACGTACTTGTGATGAAGGAATTCCAGACAAGAAACAATCAGGGCCAGCTAATCTCCCAACAAAGAATTGTCCCAGGCAGTAAGAAGCCAAACTTTGAAACCGCTAGGCCATTAAAGCAAATCAAGGTGGCCAATTGCAACATTCCCACCTACTTCCAACAGACCAGAGTTCTTTCTCCCACCCTGGGCCTTCCACAGATATTGTCAGGATTATTTGGTTATGCATGTGTGTTTTTCAATATGTTTCTATGTAATTCAAGATGGATTAAGATGTATTTCAAGATGGATTCTATTCTGTTCAATTGTGTATTAGAAATACTGTGCTGAGGCAGAGAAAATGTAACCTTGACAGAAATGAGATAACGTGTTCTCTGGCTGGGAAAAAGAGGGAGGATCTGGTCTCAGCCAAAAGTCAGATAAGCAGATGTTCAGAGACTGTTGTTTGTGCCTAGTAGTTCCTGTCTGTTGCTTGCTGTGAATGGATGTGTGTAGATGCACTTAGTAAACTTAGTTTTCTGTTGTAACAAAAAGCTTGCAGAGTCCTGATTTCTGAAACACAGTGTCTGCTGATCTAACAATCCTTCCGCTGACAAAGTTTCAATACTCTGAAAGATATATCAACCCCACTTGACTAGTTACCAACAGACCTCACAACCCAGATGAGTTAGGAGGGATGCAGAAAGGCCGATGGAGAAGGCTTTCCTAGAACTGATCTTAAATTATCTTAAATGAACTGCTTATGTTCTCATCCTGGGCACCACAATTGAAGAGAGATATTGACAAGCTGGAATGTGTCCAGAGGAGGGCGATTCAAATGATCAAGGGTATGGAGAACAAGCCCTATGAGGAGTAGCTTAAGGAGCTGACCATGTTTAGCCTAAAGAGATGGCTGAGAGGAGACATGATAGCCATGTATAAATATGTGAGAAGAAGTCACAGGGAGGAGGGAGCAAGCTTGTTTTCTGCTTCCTTGGAAATTAGGACAAGGAACAATGGCTTCAAACTACAAGAGAGGAGATGCGCTCTGCTCTATGTAGGGCTGCCCTTGAAAACGGCTCGGAGCTTCCAACTGGTCCAACGGGCAGCAGCCAGGATGTTAACCGGGGCTCATTACAGAGAGAGGTCAACCCTCCTGTTCAAGGAGCTCCACTGGCTGCAGTTTATCTTCCGAGCCCAATTTAAGGTGCAGGTGCTTACCTACAAAGCCCTGAACGGTTTGGGACCAGCCTACCTGCGTGACCGCATTTCCATCTACGAACCCACGCGTTCTCTTCGGTCATCTGGAGAGGCCCTGCTCGTGATCCCACCGGCGTCGCAAGCGCTTGGTGGGGACGCGGGACAGGGCCTTTTCCGTGGTGGCCCCCCGACTCTGGAACACCCTCCCCAAAGACCTTAGACAGGCCCCTACATTGGCTCTTCAGAAAGAACTTGAAGACCTGGCTTTTCCGATGCGCCTTCCCAGATTAGGAAATCTCCACTACCAAGTCCCATTTGCCCTGGAAGCCCTATATACACCTCCTATCACATCAGCACTTTTAATCTTGTACCCATTGCTCTGGCCTGGCCCAGTTTTATTGTGTTTACTGTATTGTGCCTATTGTTTATTTTGCTTTATTCTGTTTTTAATTGTTTGATTTGCTTAGATTGTATTGTTGTGTTGTGTGTTGAGGCCTCGGCCTGTGTAAGCTGCATCGAATCCTTCGGGAGATGCTAGCGGGGTACAAATATAGTTTAATAATAATAATAATAATAATAATTCCATCTGAACATGAGGAAGAACTTCCTGACTGAGAACCATTCAGCAGTGGATGTCTCTGCCCCGGAGTGTGGTGGAGGCTCCTTCTTTGGAAGCTTTTAAAGCAGAGGCTGGATGGTCATCTGTCAGGGATGCTAATTCCTGCTTCTTGGCAGAATGGGGTTGGACTATATGGCCCATGAGGTCTCTTCCAACTCTAGGATTCTATGATTCTAAGTGAGGAATCAGACTGGATCCTAAACTAAAAACTCTGTTCTTGAGCCAGTATTTCATTGGCCACCACCAGGCTCTTATTGGCAGGGGTGCTTCCCCAGATTCAAGTAATAAGACACATCTTCCTGACTGTGACAGGCATTCAGCAGTGGAACTCTCTGCCCTGGAGTGTTGTGGAGGCTCCTTCTTTGGAAGCTTTTAAACAGAGGCTGGTTGGCCATCTTCCGGGGGTGCTTTAAATGCTTCTTCGCAGGGGGTTGGACTGGATGGCCCATAAGGTCTCTTCTAACTCTATGATCCTATCTGGGGAGCTGGCAAAGGACCCTCAAAACCTGTGCTTGCTGTTGGGTCTACTTTTGATGCTAAGCCCCCAATCCAGATGCTGGAAGCATACAACAGCTTAATGGTATAACATTAGAAAATGTTGACCATTTCCGCTCCCTTGGCAGCCACCTCTCCACCAAAGTCAACATCGACACCGAAATACAACACCGCCTGAGCTCTGCCTGCGAAACATGGACTGTCTACAGACGTCACATGCAACTCCTGAATGATTTCATCAATGCTGCCTCCGGAAAATCCTGAAAATCTCTTGGGAAGACAAGCGGACAAACGTCAGCGTGCTGGAAGAAGCAAAGGCCACCAGCATTGAAATGATGGTCCTCCAACGTCAACTCTGCTGGACCAGCCATGTTGTCTGGATGCCCGACCACCGTCTCCCAAAGCAGTTGCTCTATTCCGAACTCAAGAATGGAAAACGGGATGTTGAAGGACAGGAAAAGAGATTTAAAGATGGGCTCAAAGCCAACCTTAAAAACTCTGGCATAGACACTGAGAACCGGGAAGCCCTGGCTCTTGAGTGCTCCAGTTGGAGGTCAGCTGTGACCAGCAGTGCTGCAGAATTTGAAGAGTCACGAATGGAGGGCGAAAGAGAGAAATGTGCCAAGAGGAAGGCGCATCAAGCCAACCCCGACCGGGACCGCCTTCCACCTGGAAACCAATGTCCTCACTGTGGGAGAAGATGCAGGTCAAGAATAGGGCTCCACAGCCACCTATGGACCCACCAGAACACCGATCCTTGAAGACTATCCTACTCAGCCAACGAGGGATTGCCTAAGTTAAAGTTACAACAGCTGGGAAGCTATTTTAGCTTCTGGAGAAGAACTTTCAAAGTAGGACCAAAAAAAGAACACTTTCAGGAACAGAACCGTTTCCAAATATTTCTTTTTTGCAGAGTGGAAGGTGCAGCTTCCCAACCACTGAACCCTCCAGAGCGAATGGAAGAAACTCCCTTCCCTCCCTCCCTCCGCGCGTGCGCAAGTGGCGTTGCCATGGCAGCCAGGGCGGGCTGATCCTGGAACCGGCCTCTCCTCCCTCCGTGTCGCAAAGGGGGTCGTCCCTGCCTGTCAGCCAATGGGTTTGCAAAGAGAGAGAGAGAGAAGAAGGGGGGGGCAGCCTCCGGCCTTTGCGGGGGCGGATCGTACCATCTCCAGCCGAGGGAAAGAGGGAGGAGGAAAGAGAGAGAAAGAGGAGGAGAAAGAGAAAGAAAGAGAAAGAGAGCAAGAGGAGGAGAAGCCGCCGCCCGCTTTTGCTGCTGCGTCTGCTGCTGCTTGTTTGCGCTTTTGCTTTGGGCCAAAAATTAGAGGACAAGGGGGCCTCCAAGAAGAAGAAGAAGAATATCACAAGACAGTATACTTCTTCTTCTATTATTATTACTACTATTCTTCTTCTCCTGCCTGGCTCTCCAAGGCATGGAGGTCTCCTCTGCGGGGCGCGCGCGGCTGGGCTGCTGAGGCTCCTGCTCGCTCTCCTCCCTCCCTCTCTTCTCTTCTCTCTCTCTCTCTCTTCCCTGCCTGCCTTCACTCCTCCCTTCCTCTCCTTTTCCCTCCTCCCTCCCTCCTTCCCTCCCTCCCCCCCTCCCGCTGTAAAATGGCGCTCTGCATGAGCCGCCCCGGCTGAGCCCCCCGAGCCTCCATGGGCCCCTCAGGCCCCCCCGAAGGAGGAGAAGGAGAAGGAGGAAGAAGAAGAAGAGGAGCAGGAAGAAGAGGAGGAAGAGGAGGAGGAGGAGGAGGAGGAGGAAGAAGCCAAGGTGAGTGAGGGAGGGAGCGAGCGAGAGAGCGAGTGAGTGAGTGTGGGCCCTCGCGGATTCAGAGAGAGAGAGAGAAGGAGAGAGAAACAGGGAGGGAGGGAGAGGATAGAGAGATAGAGAGATAGATAGAAAGATACATGGATAGATAGATGGATAGATGGATACATTGATGGCTGGATGGATAGATACATACATGCATGCATGGATAGATGGATGGATTGATAGATACATGGATACATTGATGGCTGGATGGATAGATAGATAGATAGATGGATAAATGGATACATTGATGGCTAGATGGATACATACATACATACATGCATGGATAGATGGATAGATACATGGATGGATAGATAGATACATGGATACATTGATGGCTGGATGGATACATACATACATGCATGCATGGATAGATGGATAGGTACATGGATGGATAGATACATGGATACATTGATGGCTGGATGGATACATACATACATGCATGCATGGATAGATGGATAGGTACATGGATGGATAGATAGATCCATGGATACATTGATGGCTGGATGGATACATACATACATGCATGCATGGATAGATGGATAGGTACATGGATGGATAGATACATGGATACATTGATGGCTGGATGGATACATACATACATGCATGCATGGATAGATGGATGGATTGATAGATACATGGATACATTGATGGCTGGATGGATAGATAGATAGATAGATAGATAGATAGATAGATAGATGGATAAATGGATACATTGATGGCTAGATGGATACATACATACATACATGCATGGATAGATGGATAGATACATGGATGGATAGATAGATACATGGATACATTGATGGCTGGATGGATACATACATACATGCATGCATGCATGGATAGATGGATAGGTACATGGATGGATAGATACATGGATACATTGATGGCTGGATGGATACATACATACATGCATGCATGCATGGATAGATGGATAGGTACATGGATGGATAGATACATGGATACATTGATGGCTGGATGGATACATACATACATGCATGCATGCATGGATAGATGGATAGGTACATGGATGGATAGATAGATCCATGGATACATTGATGGCTGGATGGATACATACATACATGCATGCATGCATGGATAGATGGATAGGTACATGGATGGATAGATAGATAGATCCATGGATACATTGATGGCTGGATGGATACATACATACATGCATGGATAGATGGATAGATACATGGATCTATATATCCATCCATGTATCTATCTATCCGATAGATACATGGATAGATGGATAGATACATGGATACACTGATGGCTGGATGGATAGATAGATACATGGGTAGATAGATAGGTGGATAGATGGATACATTGATGGCTGGATGGATACATGCATACATACATGCATGGATAGATGGATAGATACATGGATACATTGATGGCTGGATGGATAGATAGATACATGGGTAGATAGATACATGGATGGATGGATACATTGATGGCTGGATGGATCCATACATACATGCATGCATGGATAGATGGATGGATAGATACATGGATGATAGATGGATGGATGGATGGATCGATCGATCGATAGATCAATAGATACATGGATGGATAGATCGATACATGGATGTATAGATACATGGATACATTGATGACTGGATGGATAGATAGATAGATACATGGGTAGATAGATACATGAATAGATGGATACATTGATGGCTGGATGGATACATACATACATGCATGCATGGATGGATACATGGATGGATAGATAGATATACACGGATAGATGGATACATTGATGGCTGGATGGATACATACATACATACATACCTAGATAGATACCTCAGTGGATGGATGGATGGATAGATGATAGATACATACATGCATACATACATAGATGGATAGATAGAAGGTAGTCAAAGGTATCAGTCTACTCCAGGATGGAGGGATAGGGATGATGGATAGGTACATAGATGGATGCATACAGAGATACCTAGACAGGTACATAGATGGAGAGATTGATTCATATAGATACCTAAATGGATACCTAGATGGATAGATGATACATACATACAAACATTGATAGATAGATGGTAGTCCAAGGTAAGGCCAAATGGCTCCATTCTATCAGGTTTCTCTAGGATGTATATGTTGTCAAAGTATATGTAGTGGAAGAAAATCATACTCGTTCATGAGTGATCACCAATGATGATGACACACAGAGATATCTAGATGGTACATAGATGGATAGATGATACATTCAAATATACATACATACATACATACATACACAAATGGATGGTAGTCCAAGATAAGACTCAATGGCTCCTTTCTATCATTATTTCGCAGGATGGATGGATATGTAGATGGATACATACATACATGCATGGATGGGTACATAGATGGATAGATAGATACTTATTGATAGCTAGGTGGATTCATGGATTGATGGATGAATAGATGATAGATAGATACATATGTACATAAATGGATAGATAGAATGTAGTCAAAGGCAAGGCCAGATGGTTCCTTTCTACCAATAATTTCCAAGATCAATGGATGGATAGATAGATACATACAGAGATACCTAGATGGGTACATAGATGGATGGATGGATGAATAGATAGATATGTACACATAGATACTTAGATGGATACATACATGGATATAGACGATAGATACATTCAGAGATGGATACATAGATGGATAGATAGGATTGGGGTCAAAGGTAAAGCCAGATTACAGCTTTCTATCAATCTTCTCCAGGATGGTTTGATAGAGGGATGGGGAGGTGGATAGATACCTAGATACCTAGATACCTAGATGGATACATAAATGGATGGACGGATAGATACATAAATACCTAGATGGATACATACATGGATTGATTGATAGATGGAGAGACAGAAGGTAGTCAAAGGTAAACCCATATAGTTCCTTTCTATCAGTCTTCTCCAGGATTGATGGATGGATAGGGAAATGGATAGATAGATAGATAGATAGAGAGAGAGAGAGATAGAGAGATGGATACATAGATGAATAGATAGGGTTGGGGTTAGGGTCAAAGGTAAAGCCAGATTACAGCTTTCGATCAATCTTCTCCAGGATGGTTTGATAGAGGGATGGGGAGGTGGATAGATACCTAGATACCTAGATGGATACATAAATGGATGGATGGTTAGATACATAAATACCTAGATGGATACATACATACACAGATTGATACATGGAAAGACAGAAGATAGTTCCTTTCTATCAGTCTTCTCCAGGATTGATGGATGGATAGGGAGATGGATGGATGGATGGATGGATGGATGGATGGATGGATAGATAGATAGATAGATAGATAGATAGATAGATAGATACAGAGATGGATACATAGATGGATAGATAGGGTTGGAGTTAGGGTCAAAGGTAAAGCCAGATCACTGCTTTCTATCAATCTTCTCCAGGATGGTTTGATAGAGGGATGGGGAGGTGGATAGATACCTACATACATACATACATACATACATACATACATAGATTGATACATAGATGGAGAGACAGAAGGTAGTCAAAGGTAAACCCATATAGTTCCTTTCTATCAGTCTTCTCCAGGATTGATGGATGGATAGGGAGATGGATAGATAGATAGATAAATAGATAGATAGATAGATAGATGATAGATACATGGATACATACATGGATCTGTAGATAAATAAATAAATATATAGATGATACATACATGCATAGATGGATACAGAGATATAGATGGATATATAGAAGGTAGCTGAAGGTAAGTCCAGATTGTTCTTTTCTATCAGTCTTCTCCAGGATGGACGGATGGATAGAGAGATGGTTAGATACATACACAGACTGATACATAAATAGATACATAGATGATACATACATAGATGGATACTGGTTAATAACTAGAGCAGCATACAGGGATCATACAACTCCCATGTTACGCCAGCTCTACTGGCTGCCAGTTTGCTACTGGGCACAATTCAAAGTGCTGGTTTTTACCTATAAAGCCCTAAATGGCCCCGGCCCAATTTACGTGTCTGAATGCATCTTCCCTTATGAGCCACCACGGAGACTAAGATCCTCCAAGGAGGCCCTGCTCTCTGTCCCGCCATTGTTACAGGCGCGATTGGTGGGTACGAGAGAGAGGGCCTTCTTGGTGATGGCCCCCCGGCTATGGAACTCCCTTCCTTCCTGGTGAGATCAGATCAGCCCTCTCCCTCCTGTCCTTCAGAAGGATGGTAAACACTTGGCTGTGGGACCAAGATTTTGGGACAGGGCAATAAAGCAGTGATAGGAAACCTTACCAGGCCATGATTGAGATAGTTTCAAACAGTGTATTTTAATGCTGAGATAAATGTTTTTAATGTTTATGCATATGATGAATTCTTGTCCCGGCATTAAATGTTTGCCGTATATATGCTATGCTCCACCCAGAGTCCCCTTTGGGGTGAGAAGGGAGGAATATAAATCTATATAAATAAAAATGTAATGTTCGTTTGTGGGATTAACAGAACTCAAAAACCACTGGGGGAACTGACACCAAATTTGGACACAAGACATCTAACAACCCAATGTATGTCCTTCACTCATAAAAACACGGAAAAACACAGCAGAAGGGATTTAAAAAGCCAAAAAAACAAAAATTACATTACAATGCATGCGCGCAAGCACACACACACAAAACACACACACAGAAAGGGGGAAGAAGGAGGGAGGGGAGAGAAAGAAGGAAAGAAAAAGGGTAGAGAAGGAAGGAGGGAGAGAAAGAAGAAGAGGAAGGAGAGAAGGAAGGAAAGAAAGAAGGGTAGAGAAGGAAATAAGTAGAGAAGGAGGGAGAGAACGGAAAGAAGGAGGAGAAGAAAGAAGAAAGGAAAGAGAGAAAAGGAGAGAGAAGGAAGGAAGGAAGAAGGAGAAAAAAGAAGGATAGAGAAGAAGAAGGAGAGAAGGAGGGAGAGAAAGAAGGAGAGAAGAGAAAGAAG